CAGGTTTTTGCTGTCCATTTTACAGTAGCTTAACTTAGCTTAGCTTACAATGTCGCATAATTTTTCCGTGCGATCGCGCATAAAATTTACGTGCTTAAATGAAATAGACGCAATCATATGTATGAAAGGCCATGCGTAAACGTGAAAGTTGAGCGACGTTCAACTGTTACGCGTCACCTTCCGTATTAGGGGCGTACCCAGCGTTTCGACTATTTGTAGGCGTGGCTACTAGTCTGACCTCACCAACACTTTGACCTCTTAAGCTTTTTAGCTCACCCCAACAACCCATAATTTATTACAAGCCGTAGAGTGATCAAACCAAAGATTCGTAGGCCCGGGCCTACAGGCTTATGGGTTGGCTATGCCCGTGCTTATTTTACTTACGCGCGTAAAATTTACGTGCGTATGCACGTAAAAATTACGTATCAGTGGAAATCCACCTTGGTAGTTGTTGCGTCTGTTGTTTAGCAATAGGTTTTTAAGTATACAAAACGTTCCTGGTACTGCTGGTCAAATGATAGTTTCGAGGGAACCTTCTTTTTGCGATCTTTACTTTCTTTACTTGTCTTTGTTAAATCTGCCTTTTACTCCATTCACAGTTCAAACGTTTGCCTGGGTTTTCGTTCGTCGTACTAAATGTGATCTGTTATATTTTAGGAGTTATCTAAAGGCCTTGCTTTGATGGAACCAGAAATGACCAGCACTGTGGATTACGGCAAACAGCTTGCTTTGAATGAGAGTCTCAGCAGCGAGAATCGCAAAGGAGTGTCTGAAGATGCAAAATATTTGGAAGAAAGATGGAGAGCTCTTATGAAGTCTACAGACGAGGAGTATGCCAGGCGAGTTGTTTACAGTAAATAGTAAAGTAGCAGCTCCTCGTAAGGTGTCTCCTGATTGGTCTCACTGTTTATCAGTATTTCCATTATTTCACGGTTACAGTAGCAAAACAATTGGCTTTTTTAGCTGCTCTAAGATATGTGGTTAGATATTTAATGCAGATATTTTATTCAGTATTTCTTTACATTTATACGTTGTATAAAAGAACTGATCGGTAAGGGGTTCTCCAATCACTGGATCGACCGATCCGCGGCCCGCTCTTCTGTCTCCTGAATGCATTGTTTTTTAAAGAACGCCTATAATAAGGCAAGCAATCCACACAACTTAACTAGTGTAAAGGAATGGTCAGTTCAATGGAAGCTTTTCAGCAGTGATTACTTGTGACCTATTTGCACCTAGTATACATGTACATGTTGTTGTTCAATTTTATCCTTGGTTAAAATTTTATTTTCGTCTGTTTTTTGGGTATGGTAATGTATGATAATGATTTACAAACAAAGAAAAGAAAATTTAAAGCAAGGATGAAATTGAACCGCAACGTATACATGTACAATAAGGTCCTAATTATTCTAGTTATTCTCTTTCCCAGGGCTTTTGACCCTCTCAGTTTCTAATGGCAAAACCCTGGGGACGAGGTTGATGGCTGGTACATGCATTAACCGATAGCTTAATGTCTTTGTAGAATCGGAGTCCAGCTTGGCGAGGCTCAAGCTAAACAAAGCCACTTAGCTACCTGGCATGAACGATGTGATGAGCTTCAAGAGTGGGTAACAGACAGGTATACAAGGCTCCGCTCCCGTCCCACATCCCCTGAGGCCTCCTTTGGCGGAATAAAAAGGCAACAAAGCGTTATTGAGGTACGCCCATAGAACATACTCAATACGTTATCCGATTCCTTCGGGTCATCAGTCTGCACTTCTAGGTGTCTAGCCTTAGGTTGTTTATGTTTACTTACACTAGAAAACTTGGTTGCTTACCATTTACGCAAGCCACCGGGTGGAAATCTTGTGGGTAAATATAACTACAAAATTTGACGTGTTGGTAGAATGAGCCTCTACAAAGTATAGTGAACAGACTAAAACGAGATAATCTTGATTCGCCTGAAATAAAAACCAGTTCCGAAGTTTCCCAAACGGAATGGCGCGAACCATTTGATTCTCCAACCAAAATTTCCGGTTTTCTCATTTATGGTAGACTCGTACCCAGTCGCTATTTATGTGTTTTTGGGGTCAGAGAAGATTGGGGGTTAGGTTGAGGAGCGCGCGGGGTGTCATTGGAATGGACATGATACCCCGCGCGCGCCTCAACCTAACCCCCAATCTTCTCTCACCCCCAGAAACACATAAATAGCGACTGGGTACGAGTCTGCATTTATGGTAAGAACCTCTTTTGTCACATTGTCTCTCTGTTCAACCAGTTTGTGTTACGTCGACGTAATACTGTTTACAAGAAGGCGCTTATGATAGACTAATATCATATTCTGTCGATTTTCTAAAATGAGCTTTGCTCTTTTAGGATTTAGTAAAGGACTTAGTTTCCAAACAAGGTGAAGTGAACGAGATCATTGACGAGGGAAATCAATTTATCGAGGACAAAAGTTTACTTGAAGGGGAAAGGAGGATTGCCCATGAAAAGATGATCGCGCTACATAATGACTGGAACAAGCTGGCCACGTTAACATCAGGCAAACAACAAAGGTAAACAACAGAAATATATATATTAGAAAAGTGTGGGGAAACAAGTCCTCTGAATCACCGGGTAAATTTACCGCTTTTGATTTTCTACTTGAATATCAAAACCTTAGGACTACGGACTCAAAACAAGGGAACACAAAATTAACAGCACAGAAATGTTATGTTTATTATTTTCTCTTCAATTTTTCATCATCATCGTCATCATCATCATCATCATCATTATCATCATCATTATCATCATTCTATTTTATTAAGTTATACTACTACACGAGAAATTTCTGCAGTTTGATTGGCTTAGACCAGTGGTATTTCAGCTTAATTTGAAAATACCTACATGTGAAAATTACAAACCTTTAGTGGGTAGTAGTATAAACAAATAATAGCATGATTTGTACGTGATATTTGGCATAAATACCACTCGTGATATATCAAAATTGTTTCAAATTTCACTCGCCTAACGGCTCGTGAAATTACGAATAACATTTTGAAATATCACTCGTGGTATTTATGCCAAATATCACTACAAATCATGCTATTACCTATACTAATTAATTAACTAATTTATCTATTTACTCGAAATTGAAACTCTCCCATATTATTACGCGCAGCCCAGACCTGATAAAAAAACGTACCGTCTTCAGACATGCCCTTTAAACCTAAGAAAAAATATCTTGTGATAACAGTGCTTGAAACACGTCTCCTTTCAGCGTGCAAGTATTGCTTTTAGAGAAGGAACAACAGCATCTAGACAAGACCCAGAACTGGAGAAGAAAAATAGATCCTCTGATGATGTGGATCTCATCCGCGGAGACCAGACTCAACACTCACTTTGAGATTGCACCAGATCTGGATACCGTCAAGAAACAAAAAAGAGAATTAGAGGTACGCTTTACCAATGCTTTCCTAACCGTTTTTTTTTCAGAGGTTATGCTGTTTTTTGTAGGAGAAGACATTCCAAAACCCTCAAACTCTAAAAATTAGTAAGAGTGGTGCTGGAAAACATTCGACTGGTATTAAAATGACTTAAAAATCGCCAGAATAATTAAAACGGTTATTAAAGACATTGTTAGAAATTTACTTTAATCAGGAGCCCATAACCAGAAGAAAACGAATGCATTTTATGTAACTGTTGTTGTGTCCCGGCATGCTCAAACCATCGAACCTAGTGGCCGTACTTTTGACAATGCTGTTTAAAATCAAAACACTTTTAAACTCGATTTTCACTTCACTGCGCTAAAATAATGGAAAGCGACCGTTTCGGTAATAAAAAGGTCTCCGCATTTTCCAGGTACGTTTGTGTAGAATACGCATTGCATCGATATAACATATAGAAATGAAATCTCGTTATCTCCTGTCCCAGTTTGAAACACATTTTTATCTTTCGACCCTCCTGTTATTTGAAACCGATTTCATTTTCCCTAAAAAGGTTAGAAAAATCAGGATTCCACTATGTTAGCAAAAACACGGCTTGTGATGATTTGATTATTTTTTCTACATAATAATAGGACTTTAATGATGATATGCTGTCTCATCAACGCGAGGTAAGCGATACTCTGGTGTACGGCGACAAGTTGCTAAAAGATTCCGAACTTCCTGAAGACGACAGGACCGCGATTCAGAAGGAAGTCCTCGATCTGAGTCACCGCTGGGAGAATCTTGAGGAACTTGTGTCGTGGAAAACAGACAGGTATGTTAATTTACAAGTAGCAAACAATTAGCCTGTCATCTTGTGACGTCATGGTACAGTAACTGTTCAACAAATAGATTCCATGTTGTCGTGCGTCTGTTCAGCAATAGATCACAGTTGACGTCAAAATGTGGTAAAAACGAAGAAGTGGCACACGAGCCTCAGGCGAGTGTGTCACTGATGTTTTTACCATTAATGGCCATTAATTCCGCGTTGAACTCAGTAGGCCACAACAGATGAGCCTGTTATATGTTAGCCTGTGGACAGCGGTCTTTATATGTATGTCTCACTAAAAGCTAAAACTCTACTTGAGCAGTGCTACGCATTCTGGAGTAGAATAAAAGTGTTCTGGAACAAACCTGTTATTGCAATGAACCATAATTATCTTTTTAACTTCGGTTGTCAGAATTGAAGACACAATAGTGAAGCTTAAGATTCAACAAGAAGACAAACTTCAGAAGTGGCACGAAGACCTGGGTGACATCAATGGATGGGTGATGAAAACTAGAGTCAAAGTCGACGCACAGGTTACACTTGCTTCTGATGTGGATGGTGCTTTGGAACAAATTGATGATTTTCAAGTAAGTGGTTCGACTAATATTGATTGTGTGGTTAGTGAACTGTTTTAAAGGAAAATAACAACTATGTCGTGGTTATAATGAACAGTAAACGACAAGTGAAGGGAAAGTTACGTAGTACAAATTAACGTTTGCCGTTTGCCGTCATCGCGATGCTCAATCTCTCTAATGTATAACAAATGAAAAAAATTGATTTAGGTATGAAATGTATTTGCGATCTTAGACAAAAAATGATAAAATCTGGCATTTTCTTACCCACGCTATACCTTTCCCGCGGATTTGGTACCGCAATTACCCCTCCCCTACTCCACCCCGTCAATTTTGTTCGGTCGGGGACAGAAACGATCCAGCCGGACCTCAACATTGTTTTTTGGGGGGTAAAGGTGAGTATTTGTAATTACCAGTACTTTAGAGAGCTTTTTCTTGAAACTAGCCGTGGCAACGTCCATTCTTCTTAATCTAGGTTCTGATGCCTGAATACAGGACGCCTAAACAATCGTTCTGGCAATAGTCTAGTGTTTCTTATTGCAAACCTATCCTAATGGTTTTTAAAAGTTGAGATGTTAAGATATACGACCACACTACCCCGTCTTTGTTTGTGTAGGAGGTTATCAAAGACGCGCCTGTATACCAAGAGAAAGTCACCCATCTCAACGAGTTCAGCGACAATCTGGTTACAGATCCCTGCCTTGGTGAGGAAGAACGGAAAGTTGTGCGCCAGGAGACTGTTGACTGTAACAAAAAATGGAACGAACTCGTTAACATTGCCAACGCAAAACAGGCCAGGTAAGGAAGTTCTAGCATGTGGGTATCTAACGGTTAGTGTATCATTTTGGCAGAGACTTTGATTCCTTTTTAATTGTTACGTTCTTCATCGTAGCCTGGCGTGTCCACTCTAGGGAGGGGCTAGCCCACAAAGGTAATTAGGCGGATAGCTCAGGGTTGAGAGTAGCCTTCTGTGGTTTGTAAATAAACTTTGTCAACAACATTGATATAACCCAATTTTATTTGTGTTTCACTCCTCCTTCTTCGTCCGAACCAAAGTTTATGTTTAAAACCTTCATTCAATGAATTATTGTGAAGGGAACATGTGATGACTGTAAAGAGAATTCGAAGGGGACAGACTGCAAAGTTGGAAATACGTGTATCTCATAACTGCCTAAATGTGTGTAATTCCACTTTTAGTTTCGGCTTCATTAATCCTATACCAACTGTAGGACATTTTTAGGAGTAGTCACCAACATTGTGAGAACAGATACTGACTAGGCGTATCAGTAAAGAAAAAATCACTGTATATAACGAAATAAATGCACGCGTCAAATCGTAAATGAATAAAACACACACGTATAGTTAAACTGGAAGAACGAATTATTGCTGTTTCCTTTAGGATGGAAGAAAACCTGGACAAATTAGAGCGCCTGGAACAAGATGCTCTGGAGCGTTGGAGAATCCGTTCAGAAAGAGCAGGACTGGCACTAGATAAGCTGGAGGGTCAGATAGCGGTTATTGATGATCCAATAGGAGAAACCCTGGAGACCATTAGGAGGCAGGAGGACGCCTTTGAAGTATGTAAATTCCACAGGATGTAAAGGCAACTACGCTTTTTTAAACTGTAACACTGGGAAAGCTTTTCTGACACCACTGGGAAAGCGTTGTATTGTGCCTACTTGAATACAGGGTCCTCCCCGGTAACTGTCTGTTTAAGCAGGGAAGTCTTCCCCTTCGGGCAGGACCTCTCCGGTTTTGAGCAACTTGAAACAATTATTGTTTAATACTTCCCTGATACCCAAGACAGAGCCTAGGTCTAAAAGAGGTTCTATAAAATGAGAGGAAGTCTCTCCTTTGCATTAAAAACGCAACATTACATTGCTTAGCGATCACACGTTGTTTTTTCTATATGTCTAGATATTTTCTAGTGAGGTGGAGTTAAACACGTCCCATATGCTTGATACGTTTGCCTTGGGCGAACAAGTCAAGAAAGATCCAAAAGTGACGTTGAAAAAGAAAGAGGAGGTGAATGAACACTACAATTCACTGGCAGCTCGCTGGGACCGAATAAAGGACTTTATTGCCTTGAGAAACGAAAGGTATGCAACAACGTAGATACTTGGAATTTATATGTCAAGAGGTTCATCGATTATTCTTCAAACGATTTACAGGGGTAGGGCTGTGCGACATAGTTCCTAAGTGTTGAGAACTGACCTTATTTGAGACTAAAATACAGGGTTTTCCTTACCTATTTGAAACCAGATCGTAGATTGATACACTATTCCCGGACGTGACCTTTAACATCATTGGCTGCCTAGTCAGACCTATTTTTAAAGTAATGGTTAGATACTTTGCATACCTATACTCTAATGAATTTCAAGCTCAACAGCAAGCCCACTCTGATGAATGATCTGTATAAATATGTTTAAAAAAACGTTGCATAAGGTGTACAAGACGTTTGAGGTTCTTTTCTTTACTTTTGAAATAAAACAATTTTTCATTGAGCACCCTCAATTCACATGGTGTACCCTACTACAGTGCTAAGAAGCCTGTAGTGTATGAGCTCCCGGCTTCTACATAGGCTTCCTTGTCATTATCACTTTGAACATTTGTAAAATAATTTAGTTAGAATAGTGTTTATTATCTTTAATATATTATAAATTTCTTGTATATTGTTGATGTATTCTTATATGGTAATGAAGGAATGAATGAATGAAAAAAATGGCGAAAAATAAGCCTGTCTAACCCTTTCTACTTTGGCGGGAAAGGCCCCTTAAACAGCAAGGGGAAACATTTTAAACGTTCACAGTAATATGTCCCGTTTTTCCTTTCTCAAGAATCGAGGAAGCTTCCAAGAGGCTTCAGCGTGAAAGACGAAACAAGCTTCATGACTGGGAAGAACGGCTCGCTTCCGTTGACAGTTTTCTGCGTAAAGCAGAGAGAGAAACCGAGAGACTTGAACCTGTTGGCGACGACTTGGAGACTGTTAGAAGACAAAATGAGGAATTTGAGGTTACTATTGTCTTTAAAAATGCCTCAAAAGTTTCAAAGAAATAGCCTGCGTTCGATATATGAAAATTCTAACAAGACTCCCAAGCTTTGGGGTCAAAATTGCAAATTTTTCCCAACTCCATGGTCTCGCAGTTCCCTTCGCAACCACAACAACCACAACAGACGACGCCAGCGAAAAATTAAAAAATACCACATTCAAAATAGATAAAGGCCAAAAGATGAATTCCTTATCCTTCTTATGAAGTTCTCGTTGTCGTTGTCGTCGTGGCTGCGTAAACTCCCTAATTATGAAAGACGTGGTGACTTTCATTGATATAACTTTTTTCTTTACCTGTTAGCATTCCATGAGCCTCCTGTTAGGACCACAGAAACGAGTCTACGATTTCGGAAAATTCACTGACGACTTGATAGTCGATCCTGTAATTGACGAGCAAAACAAGCGTTCCATGGCGAGCGACAAAGACAATCGTCTTGAGCGATGGGCAAGGGTCGCAGACAAGATAAACAAACACCGTAACAAGTAATTACGCTTTTATTGCTGGTTTGCAGGTGACTCCGATCCATGGCGGCCATGGCCCAGTTGCTCGAAGCATGGTTAGCGTTAACCAGCGTTTAATACCTTGACAACGTATTGGTTTTGATACTGCCTAACCAATGGTTAAAGCTAACCATGCTTTGAGCAACTCAGCCCATTTTGTTTGACAAGCATAAAGGCGTTTCCCTCCGTTGGGAACTAAAGTTTGGATCCTTTTCATTATGTTCTTTCCTCATTGATTTACGTTTTAATCGGCGAAAGTAGTTAGGCAATGAAAACTGAACGACTGTCATCTTTGCACTACGTCAAAAACACAAGTTGGCTGAGTTCTTCTCCGTGACATTAACTGATATAGTCTTGGAACAGTTAAAATAGTGGAAATAAAATAGGATCAATGCATTGCATCACAATCTACCTTAGAGCAATAGGCAGTATTTACCAACGTTTCTACCTGGTATAATTCCATTACCCCCTTGTTTGTACTTTTAGACTGCAGGACAAGCTGTCGGTGTTGGAACAGAGTGAAGACGAGGTGTCAAAGTGGTATGATGACCTGGGCGCAACCAACGAAGAAGTCGAAAAAGTTGAAAGTATCTGCCAACAGGAAATCTCGCCTGATATGGACACACTTGAAAGACAAAGAAAAGAAGCTAAGGTAGACTTTATTGATGTGGCTGATCGTATTTAAAGGGCACAGACTGCCAATAATTCTTGTCGCTGGAATCACCTGAATCTTTTAACTGTTCATCATTAGGATACCCAAAATGTACATGTGTATATATGTATATTGGAATAAATTATGGCACCAGAATGATATAAGAGATCTGTATTAGCAAAGGATGTTGTGCCGTGGTGTATGAGTTTTGTTTGTTTGTCTGTTTTTTCAGAAGCCCACACTCCGCCCACTCTTCGAAATGGCGTGTGTCAGACTCTTATCAGCCTGGGCTTTCTTAAAAGGGCCATGGGTTCAATGCCGTTCCTTTTTTTCTTCACGTCGTTTTTATTGTAGTTTTTATCGGTGTATTGACGCATGAAATGATCTCAATGACTTCCCCCATGTTCTTTGTCATTTTTCAAAGCAATTAAAAGAAGACGTAAGAAGGATTGATCCTCAGGTGGATGAATTTCTAAAGGACTCAGAAACTTTACTCGATGAACATGAGCTGTCAGACCACGACCACAGGACAATTGAGCTGGAGTCAGAATCACTGCGAGATCGATGGAGTAAAGTGAAAGAGGACGCAAAGTCAAGGGAATCAAGGTTTGTAGATGGGCTTTTTACGCTGCCTCTTTCTGAAAATGGAGAGTGTATGCTTCAGTTCGTAAACTTAGTTTCTTCAAAGGGGATTCAAGTTTAGCCTCCAGATTAGCAGGTCGTCGTTCGTTAAAGAAGAGTCAATTGATCAAATCGTTTCAGTCCCAGAAGGAGTAATGAATATTCGTGGAA